CAGATCGCGCAGACTATGTTTTTGGCCGGACCGCTCTAATGGTCGCATCCAAAGAAGGTCACGTGGCAATTGCATGTTTGCTGCTGGAAGTGGGTGTTGCAAAGGATTGCGCGGACAAAAAAAAGGCATGATCGCCCTAATGCTGGCAGCGGATTGTGACCACCTGGAGGTTGTGCGATTGCTGCTGGAAGCTGGTGCCGATACAAAGTGGTCGAACTATGGCGGAGATACTGCCCAAAGCCTTGCATCTAACAGAGATCACTTCAAGCCTGCGCGTTTGCTTTTGTAAGCTGGTGCTGCTTGGTGACGGTCATCTACTTGCAGAGGTTTCGGCCACCACGGGGTTGCTGACCCCATTAACAAGAGGATCGCAGAATGACAGGCTGCTTCTCGAATCCCCAGTATCATGGCTTTTATCTCCACACGATAGGATCTGTCTGCGCGTTTGCTTACTGAAAACAGATAGCTCCCTCCGCAGTCTTCGTATTTTTCCGGCTGCCAGTGCAAGTGGGGGTGCACTAGTTGGCACTTTGGGAAACTTGCTAATTTGTCTTGTGGTCCTATAAATCTATAAAAGTACATATCGCCGCTAAATACCTTGGACGGCACGTAAATCTCAAACCAATACCTAAACCATCCCAAACCTTGATCCATTAGGCTTTAAGTATATAGCTTTCCGCATCCCTATAATGTAGGGGACTTTCTAATTAGAATCGGGTTTTGGGGGCTCCTGGCAATTATTATGGGAAAATATACCCCCAAACCCTATTCTACTTATTGAAGCCCGTAGTTTGAAACCCCCATTATACCCCTTAGAGTAATCCTTGTAGACCCCTTTAAAAGGAACCCTCAAAGGAACCCTATTATAATTCTTCAAGCCCCTACATAGTTGCACATTTCCTGCTGAATCCTGGGTGTTCTGCCCCAAGCGGCAAAAGAAGTTCGTCAGGGACGATCATCGTCTAGTTTAGGGTTTAAGGTTTAGGGTTTAGGGTTAGAGTAGGATTGTTGGTTTAAGGCTGTAGGGTGGCAGTGAAGAATTTTCCTTGACGGATATGTGACTCAGTAAGTAAGGTCATAAGAACCCCAACCGGAGTCGTAAGTAAGTAGTATCATAACTACCTTCATTGTAGTCGAAGTCATTAAGTCCCATGGTCCTCCAAGTAACCCCAAGTTAGTTTAAGCCGGAATGAGGTTTTGGGATTCGTCGGCACAGCAGTTCGGGCAACCCTCGGACGCAACTTTATAAACTAGAGGTTCGCATAAGTTTTCCTTGTGACTCAAACTGTTAATCTCTCATGCGTATAGGGAAGCAAGAGTGTGTTGGTGCTGATAAGTACGAGAGTGATGCAGTCCAAGCAAAAGGAGATTGCGAAAGACAATCATTTGTGTAGGCAGAGCGAAGAGTTAGGCTCCAGTTCCCCTCCTGCGCCTCAAGCCCGAACCCTAACCCTAACCCTCAACCCTAAACTCTAAGTCCTGAACCCCAAGCCCTGAACCACTAACCAAATTGCAAGAACTGCCCATCCAGGAGTTTTACGGACAGTTTCCAGAGATGGAGCGTCCGAGCCGATTTCGGAAGGTGGCCAGAGTTTTACTTGGTGTTCACGGTTTATGGCTGTCTAGGGCTTACGGCACGGGATTGAGGGTAAGGCTTACGGTATGGAGTATGGAGTCCAGGGTGACCTGAATCGGGGTTATCCACAGCTGTGAGAATGATTAGTTACCTTCCTTACACCACTAGCTGCTAAGTCCAGTGATCCTTTGTATCGGTTCTTGTTGGCCATTAGTACCCTTACTCCCGTTGCATTTGGGAGTCTCCAGAGAGAGACCTAACTTTGCTGTCTAAGGGCAGAGTGGTTCCCTTCGAGGGTACGACAGGGTTTAGGGTTTCAGGGATTTAAGGCTTAGGGTTTAGGGCTTAGGGCTTAGGACCTGCGGGATAAGCTGTAAGGTCTGGTCCGGGTGTACGCTACACTCACGGTTCTGATCGGGTTAATCGCACAGTTACTGGAATCTCGCAGACAGCTCTTAAACTTGAGCCCCCAAGCGCAAAAAAGTCCCAAACCTTCACCTCAGAGTAAAACTAACGACAATGCGACCGCGATGACGGCGGCGGTGCTGCTGCCGACGATGATGGTATCGATGGCGGCATCGACTTCTACAACTGCTTCTGAATATCCTGCAGACTGGTATGAATGGCAATAAGACCAGCGCATACAACAGAGGGGATGCTTTGTATTTCCACACCATGATCATCACCATCACCACCATCATCATCATCATCATCATCATCATTATTGTCATGCTCATGGTCATCGTCATCGTGGTCCTCGTCGTCCTCCTCATCATTCTTCCTCCTTATTATAACTGTTGTCTTCGGCACCATCACTGCCATCGCGACAACCCTACTCGCCATCAGCCGAAGCCTTCGCCACAAGAATGCCTTCTCCGGGCTGCTGCTCAGAATTCGCTTGAGTTGCATCGTAAGAAAGCCACATTAGGCACAATATGCATGCATGCATGCAGTGTCTTTCATGCATGCACAAATGCATTCATGTACCTGTGGTGTTGTGCATATTGCTTGCACAATGCCAACTTGAATGAAGCCCCTTCACACGGATGAAATATGCCTTGAACCCTAAACCCTAATGTAGGAACCTGATCAAGAAACCTTGGGTCTTTACAGGGTTCCTTATATGAATCCTAGTATTTTGGGGGTTATAGGCCCAGAGCTTCTTAATCAGGTTCCTGCATGAACCCCTATAAACCCTAAACCCCTATAGACCCTAAACCCTACACCCCTAAACCCTAAACCCCTAAATCCTAAACCCTAAACCCTAAAACGCCTTCTTCAGGAGCTCGGAGCGCTTATCCTCCACTGCAGGTCCGTCGTCTCCCGCGCCCACACAAAGGCACCATTTGGGGGCTTCCCATAATGGGGGAACATAATTTGGGATCCTCATTTTTAGGACCCTCAAAATAAGTTGCAAGTTTCAACGGCTTGCTCTCAACTGGCGGGCTCCGTATTTTCGAAATGGACAGAAGAAGGTATGTGCTTGGTCTGCTTTGTGTAACTTAGAGTCAACTTCAGTTTGAACTCTCTGTCGTAACCCCGTAAATTTCAAGGTTTCCTATAGTCTCCATTGTAGTTCCTTTTTGGGGTTACTTTACAGGATCCTAATTATATATTTGGTTAAACCAAAGAAAGGAATTACAATGGAGACTATAGGTTGGGTGCGAGGGACCGAAGCATCGTAATTTCAAACACTTCGCGTCGTCCGCCTCGGCCTGGCTGGCTGTATTTGGGTGGTTGTCAAAATTAGGGTCCCTTTTTGGGTACCCTAAATAATGGGTGCCGTACTATATTAGGGATCCAAAAAAGGACCATAATTTTGACAACATAGGTCACACAGGTGATGTCGTGAGTGAACCAGCGCATTTGCTCAGAATGTTGTTTACATTTCAGGCAAGAATCCGGCGCGAAAGGTGGCACATTCCCTGCATCATCCCATAGACGTTGCTCTCATAATCGTATCACATTTCTCACTGGCCTCGTGTACAACCTCCCATATGAGGGAAGGGGAATCAAGCTTTGCAACTAAGTGCAAGACACAGCCCCAGAATTCCCAGGCTTCGGCATCAGCTTCAGGAATGATGTAATTAAGCTAGCCCGTCTTGCCTCTCCGGAAGGAAGAGACGAGGGAAGCTGGGGGAGGTGTGGTGGTGGTGGTGGTGGTGGTGGGGGGAAGCAGGAGGAACTCTGAGTGTCGCCTCATTATCGCTCTGTAAGTGTACCAAAGCCCAAGAGTGCCAATGCATAGGAACCCTCAACCAGATCCTAGGGCTTTAAGGGGCTTGGGTTTTGGATTCAAGCCCCCCCCCCCCCCCAAAGCGCAGGTTCTTAACCCTATACATCCTGAGCCCTACACCGTAGTTCTGGTTTATGTAAGGGCTTGGGTTTGGGGGCTCAGGAAGTCGAGGAGTTTTCAACCCTCAGCTTTACCATCCGATCTGCCCTGATCCTCAAACCCCAAACCCCGGCTTAAGATCTTTCACCCTAAACCCTAAACCCTAAACCCTAAACCCTAAACCCTAAACCCTAAACCCTCGGAGTCTGCCTGGCCTCCACCCGCAGTATAGCCTGTATTGGTCTCCTGCTGGCCCCGATAGCTGCCCAACCTCCGGATGATCAGGATGTGCAACTGCCTCACTGGATGGTAGCTGCCGCACAGGTCGCCACCACACTCCAACAGCGGGGAGTACCCGGCTCTGACCTCATCGGCCTCCTCAATGCAGCGATTGCCTCCCGCCAGGTTCAGCCCTACACTGACTTTACGGTGGGAATGGTCCAAATCATCTGCCTCCTCACCGACAACCCCATCACGCATCAGCATCCCGGGGTGGTTATGCAGGACGTCGCGGAGTGGGTTGAATATGTGGAACGACATATGATGGGTGAATTCCTCATCGACCACCACGCGAATGAGCTCGCCCTACACACCATGGCGATGACGGGCGGCCTCCCACTCGATGCCGACCTCCCTCAACAGCGCAGAGAAAGTCTTGACCTTCGAGCTCGACGAGAACAATTCAATCAAATACGGCGACCGAGTGAACTCATTCTGCAGCTACGCCAAGCTCCACTCCCTGCTGTCTCCAACCGCGGGCACCGCTTGCAGTGGACAGGCTCGGCAGTACAACACATCCACGACCTCCACTATCAGGGTTACCACACTGGATGTTGTGTGCCACTACTGCGGGCGTGTGTGCTTGAGAGACGCTTTGCAGAGTACGAGTCCGCTGCACGAAGGTACCTTGCAGCCGTTCAATCCCAAATTGGCACCTACCCGGGAGGCGACGAACTATGCAGCTGCGACACAGCGGACTGGGCATCCCGCTTGGAGGAAGACTTGTGGAGGGCTTTTGTTCTACATGGCCTCGATACAGAGGGACTACCTCCTGGTTCGAGCTCCTCCTCGTCTTCGGGATCCCTGCCAATGGATGATGAAACGAGCCTCGCACAGCGACCCCGACAGCGGTGGCTCAAGCATGGACCCACGAGAAGGCGTCGGGTGAACCCTGCAACCACAACGACAGCACGTCGACCCCTACGCCGCGAACCCAGTCGATCGAACAGAGCGACCTGCACAGCGGAGACGGTCAACTTAGCCAGGACAGCTGCCACAAAGAGCACACACGGCTCGGAAGCTCGAGCCACAGGCCCGCATGCCCGTGGACCGAAGCCTAAAGCCAGGCCTGCGCCCCGCCGTACCGGCCCACATGCTGCCCCGGCCGCGCTGCCCGCCTCAGCAGCCGCCGCCACATCGTCGGACGACCTGTTCCTTCCCATGTCCTTGGACTCGGCAGTCGATACGTGGATGCTTACTTTGGGCATGCGCCACATTGATGAGGAAGTGGGCAACCATTTCCTGCCTGAGGCCACCATGTCCAGCATTGGCGACACTTTCCTTGACCATGGCATCCAAGACCGCCAAGTCCTCATGCTGGCAGTGCACCGGGTGGCCTTGAACCTCCTCGCCAGCATGGGCGAGGCCATTCGAGTTGCTGCCCAACAAGAACGGGACGATCAGGCCCGTGAACGAGGCGAGGACACCGACGAAAGCGTCTACATGCAGATGCCCTCCTCCTTCCAGACCCTGCTCCAACAGCTACTACACGACCTAGAGGAAGTGGGTAAAGCCAGCTCGCCGTGCATGGCCGAGTGGCTGATCGATTGGCTGTCCCACCGATGTGCCAATTCAGCCGGGGGATACTGGATTGGACATAGTCAGGGCTACGCTGCGGAAGTACTGGCTGTTCTCGCAACCTTCGTGGGAGACGCCAACGCTGATACCTGGGGCCAATGCAACGAGGAGGAAACACAATGGGCCACTGCGTGGGCCCATCGCCTCCAACTATACCTCCCAGTACACGAGGGTTCGCGACAAGCCCATCGGCTGCCGCCTGAACGCAGCCCAGTCATGCTGTTCTCCAAGCCAATGCCGGACAGTTCGGAAGAGGAGGCAGTCGGCGACCAGTCCGTTCATGGGGATCTTCCGGCTCGTGTCATTGATCACCTGGTGGAAGCTGCTCGAACGGAGGACAGCCCTCCTGGCCCTCTGCAGCCGGAGCCAAGCCCCCACGACGCGGCCGAACTTCAATACCTGCAGGGCCTTCGCACACCTGAGGCCTCCGAGCCCCCTTCCAAAGTCCGGGTGATGATGTTGGAAGTCAGCAGTGGCAGCACGGACACACCCAAGCGCACCATCCGGGTGCCCCTGGACGCCAACGGCACGGCCAACCTTCGCCTCCGGATTTGGCAGGAAGACGAGCTCGATCAGGACGGAATAGCAACCCAGCTGGTGGCACCGAGGGACATGGCTCCAGCCGACAAGCCCGCAGTCTCCGAGATCGCCGATACGGTTCCGGACTTGGAGCATGCCAACCTGCAGGGGGACCGGAATGCATGGGGTGGGGACATCGATGCCATCTCTCTGGATGTGGTTCGCTCCATCGCGGCCAACTCCGACCTGAACGAGGACCAGATTGAACGGCTCTACGGGGTCCAGGTGCTCCACATGGTCCAGACTTGCCGAGCTCTACAGGACTTCGAGGATAGCCCGGAGGTCACTGTGCATGTGGATGCTGGTTCCCGTCCGAAGCCGGTCGACTCAGAGGGTGTAGCTGTGGCGGACGGGGAGAACCTCCTGGAGCCTCCTACAAGGGTCGAGCACGGTGACTAGTGAGAGGGGTTCGTTTTGAGTTTGGGCTGCTTTCTGCTGGTAAGGGCAGGGAGGCAGTTCTTGGTTCGCTTGGCGGATCATCCCCTGGCCTCTGGGCCTTCGACGGGCAAGACGGATTGCTGGTGGAAAAAGGGGCTCAAAAAAAAAAAAAAAAACCCTAAACCCTAAACCCTAAACCCCTAAACCAGCTTTCAGGGTCTCTGGGTTGTGGGGCGTCTGATTCGGGGGGTTACACGTAGCGGCTTGCGAATCTTAGTTTCAGCTCATATGTAGCATAGACGCCTGAAAATCGCCAACCCCATTCTACTAATCAATATAGGCTGATTTCCTGACGCCTTCAAGCATCATAGGGACCGTTAGGGAGGGTGGGAAGAGGGTGGAAGGGGACTATATTTCCTAAAAAGTAGGGCGTCTTAGGTCCTTATTCTGGGCTACGCCTCTAAGGGTCCCTATGAAAGCAGGTATTCGAGGGACCGTGCCTCGAGACGAACTGCCCGAGCCAGTCTCGGAAGGTGCGCTGCTTCGGATGCAATAAACCCTGAACTCCTAAACCCGAAGCAACACTAGAGAGCCTTTTTGTTTAGGGTTTACTTACCATACTTTGATACGGTTTTTCTTGAAGGAACCATTATTAGATAAAAGTTTATGCTTTTTTCTCCCTGGTTACTTAAAAGCCCAGAAGATGTTCAGACTGTATGGTTGATGTTGAACTGTAAGGGGTTTGTGAGGAGTCCATGCAGGCTTCCACAGGGAGTCGATCAAGGGTCTTTAAGGATCATTAAGAGTTTCAGAAAGGGTCTTAATGCGGATTTCGAGGGTGTAAGGGTGTAGGCGCTAGGGTTCTAGGGTTTCGGAATTTCAGGGAATATTTGTAATGTTCCTTGAGGTTTTGGGGTTTCAGGGTGTCGGGTGCTTAGAGTTTCGACGTCTTAGAGGTTTACGGCGAAAAAAATCCATAGGGCTTGCCGCCGGCACGTCGCAGGATTCCCTACATTTTCGGACCTTCTATGACATTTTTACAGGGCCCGAGATAGACACACTTTGTAACCCTGTAGAATCCAAAAAGTACCCTTATGCACACCCTCAACTTTCGGAATCAGAGTTCCCTGCTCCATGCGTCTGCTGCTTGCAGCTTGCAAAGTGGGCTGAAAGCCTTAACCCTAACCTTCAGCAGCAAACCCTAAACGGACCCCGAACCCTAAACCCTAAATCTTAAACCCTAAACCCTAATCCCTAATCCTGAAGCCTTCAACCCCAGAGGCATAGGAGAAGGGTTGAGGTCCGAAGCCCCAAATCGTACGATGATAGTAGGGTTTGGGGGTCTATTATAAGGGTTTAGGGTTTAGGGTTTAGGGTGTAGGGTTTAGGGTTTAGGGTTTAGGGTGTAGGGTTTGGGGGTCTATTATAGTCTATAGTTATAGCAGGGTTTGGGGGGTCTACTGAGTCTATTGTGGTTATAGCTTTGCTGGTTGTTACAGTAGGGTTGGGGGTCTGTTGTTGTTTACAGTGGGGCTTGCGGGTCTATTGTTGTTAATGTAGTAGGGCCAGCGTCTATTATAGTTAGACTTCGTAGGGCTTGGGGGTCTGCTGTGCTGTACTTGTAACAAGGAGCCCTGATCCAGCGTTTGGTTCGTTTATGGCCTCTGCGTGATATACAAGAAATGTGACCCTAAACCCAAAACTGATACCGTAACCAAGTCTCCCGGACGATGTTAGACCCCCCTAAACCCTAAACCCTAAACCAAAGCCCAACACCCCAAATTTTCGACCCCTGAGTTCAACAGTTTATAAAACCCTCAAACCCTGGACCCTCAACCCCGAGACAGTACACTCTGCAACTCAGTAGCTGAGCAGGTAACCTTTAACCTATAATGGGGTTTATATAACCCTATACCATAGTTGAAAAGGTTTACCTTCTTTGGGCTAGGGAACTCAGCTTCGAAGGCAAAATCCTAAGCTTTGAAGCCCGTAGGGTTTTGGAACTTATTCAGGCCACTGGCACAGCGGCATCGAAGAGGACGGTGCCGTAGGCCGCGCTGTAAGGTTTAAGGGTTGAGGGTTTCGGGTTTCGGGGTTCCAAAATGGGTTCTATGAGCATAGGTCTAATGTTGGCCGCAAGGGGCTTGAGGGCTTAGGGTTCCCGGGGCTTCACGGGTTTTGGACTTTAAGGGGTTTAGGGTTCCAGGGTGGAGCCTAGTTGGGTTGGGTACTGGTTCCCAGGTTCAGAAGGTCTGAAGGTGCGGCTTAAAACTATCGAAATCCTGTGGTTTCCGGATGGAATTTAGGGTGGTGGAGGCTTCCTGGGCTTGGGATGTGAAGCCGAATCGCAGATGTTGATATCTTCGTTAAGCATTGCTCGGCAGGGACAGCAAGACTCTTGGCGCTTTGGGCCAGGTGAGTTCAATGCGGCCGATATGGCCGAGGTTGACGGCGCTGTCGGCAATGAAGGCCTCGAGAGCTACAAGTTTCGGGCTACGATAGGGGCCTGAATAATTACCTATACTTACTACTTTGCGGGTTCGCTATTATACTTGTGGTACAATGGGCCCAGAAACCGTGTTCAAATTATCAAGGCCCCTATATTAGGCTGAGGTTGAAATCCGTTCGGTTGCGTCTCCAAGGACCGTTAAAACCCCAATGGGAACCGTGCAGTTTTCAGGGGCTTTTGGTCGCCGAATGGCGTACACCCGGAAAGGGCAAGGAATTACTACGTTCTATGAAGCTACTGACCATCGATGGGTGAGTCGAAGAGAGCAGGGTCGAAGCGTCCAGGTCTACTTTGAGTCCTTCAGCCCTAGACCACGGACCTGGGGATTTTGGGGTGGATTTTATGGTTCCGGTGGCTGCTCGAGTAAAGCCCGTCATCTCTGCGTCCCCGCCAGGTGAGTTCTTTGCGGCCGAGGAGGAACTGGTTGATGGCAGTGTCGGCAATGAAGGCCTTGAGACGTACAAGTTTAGGGCAAGTGTAGCTTTGACGCGGGTGCGCTCAGCTAGTAGGACGCATCTCTAGCGGTCTTTATGCAGAAGAGCCCGCATCGAAGGGACAACCTCACTTTTTGCTGCCCAATCCTGAGGGTGTAGGGTACTTGGAGGATCAGGGGACTTAGTAAATAAGGTAATAAGTACCCTAACTGGGGCTATAAGTAATTATAGCTATAGTTACCCTATTTATCACCCCAGTTACTAAGTCCCATGATCCTCCAAGTATTTACATCAGAAGCTTCGCGGGCCGTCGAGATGGGTGCCGCAAGGCAGAGAACAACGCAAGAAGTGTCGGGGTTTGCCCCGATGGGAGATTCTGAAAATTAGGGGTACCTTATTTTGGGGTCCTTATAATAAGGGTCCTACTATGCAGGGTACCATGTTAGGGTCCCCTATTTTCGGAAACTCCCATTGCTTCAGCAGCGAACTAGATGGATTGGGGTTTGGAGTTGACTATCTTTAGTAAGAGCGAGCCCGTCATCAAGCGAGTCTGCGCCCCCAGGTGAGCTACTTGCGGCCGAGATGGCAGATGCTGACGGCGATGTCGGCAATGAAGGCCTTGTCAAGGGGGTTGCTTGTCTCTCGGTAGGACACATCCCGAGCATCTCTTCCTCAGAATGTCCGCATAGAAGGTGCATTGCAACTTCCACTTCTCTCACTGCCTTAGGTTAGGGTTACAGGTTGGGACCACCAACTACGCTGTCTAGGACGCCAGATACTCCATGCAGAAGCTACAGCATCTACGGGCCTTGCAGTGTGGTGCTGCCAAGCAGAGACGATGCACAGGAGTGTAGGGCCCTGTGAATAAATACCAGGATCCTACAGCCCTGCACCATGCACCTTCTGGGGCTATGTTGGTGAGGGACTCGGGTTTCGTGCTTGAGGGTTCCGTTCATTCCAGCGACCGAGTAACTGAGAAGTTTCATCATCAAGACACTCTGCACGTTTTTGCCAGGTGAGTTCTTTGCGGCCGAGGAGGAAGAGGTTGATGGTGGTGTCGGCAATGAAGGCCCAGAGAGTTACAAGTTTGGGGTCGGGGCACGGGCGCTCGGCTGGCTTCTATGCAGCCATTATGCAGACAAGCCTTCTTTGAAGCACCGCACATCTTCGTTTCCGACAGTCTCCTTAGGAATTTTCTTTTTTTATTTCTGTTCATATAGAACCCAAGAAAACATTGACTACATTAGTCTTATTATGGTTCTAAGGCGGGGTGTAGTTTCATCGTCCGAATTTTTAGGGTTTGCTGCTCAGGGACTTTGGGTCAAAAGTTCCATACACACTGCTGTTCTACTAGAGCACCAGGTGTTCTATGCAGAAGCTGCCGGGCCGAGTTGGGTGCTGCAAACAAAAGAGTAGAATAGGGCATCTGTGCGTTTTTGCCAGGTCACTTCTCGGCAGCCGAAATGGCGGAGGTTGATGGTGTGTGCAACGAAGGCCTAGAGAGTTACAAGTTTAGGGTTAGGGCGGGGTTCACTCAGCTGGTTGGACACATCACTCTATCTGCTTCTAGGCAGCCGTTATGCAGAAAGCCCTGCATCGAAGGGGCCCTACATCCTCACTTCATGCTCCCCAATCCCTAAACACTAAACCCTAAACCGCCAATCCGTATAGGGGCTTGCTCTTCAGAAAGGCTTGCACGCTACGCCAGTTTAATGCGAGGATGTTCAATGGAGAAGCTGCGGGCCGTAAACCATGGACATCTTAGCTTTTTCTGACTTTGGGATTGGGGTTTGCAGGTTGGGTAGTACAGGTAGTTATGCCGTCATCGGGTGCCTTTGCGCCCGTGCCAGGTGAGTTCAACGCGGCCCAGATGGCAGAGGCTGACGGCGGTGTCGGCAGCGAAGGCCTTGTGTGTTGAATGTGTACCCTAAGGCCCCAAAGTAGTTCCTTTTTGTGGTTCATATTTAGAACCCTATAAGGTAATCCCAAGAAGAAACTACTTTGGGGCCTATGGGTAGGGCTAGATGATGAGGTTGCGTTCTGTTCGGCAGCTCGCATCCCTGTCGCCCCTTGTGCAG